ATGGGCTCATCACCCGGGGACCCACCTAGTTCAGAAAAAGCAATAGGAAGCTGGGAGAGGGGCTTGCAAAATCAAAGGTGAGGCACCACACAAAACACCTCACATGGGTGAAGGGCATCTCTCTCTGGGCACAATCACAGGAAGGGGGATATTCCCACCCCCAAGATTCATGGAGAAAAAGGCCCTCCTCAGAGGCCCCCACTGTGGTTTTGGAGAACGAAGGCATAAGCAGCCTTCACACAGGGAGGAAGTCACCTTGAAAGAACTGGCCACTGGGCTGCAGGGGGGCGGCAGGGCTGAGTGCTAGCCACAGCACGGTGTCTGCCCCTTGGGCCACGGAGCGCAGCCTGTCCTTGAGCCTGGCGTGGAACCCCGGCATCGACTGCCTCACAGCTGCAAGAAGCAAGACACAGGACAGCATTTGCAGGTGTTTGTGGTGATGACAATGAATAGAGTCACAAAATGTTTTCTACTTCAAAATAGCATTTCCCCAAACTATTCCACAATTGATTTCAAACGACTTGTTGCAAAGACCTAAGGGGTTGCCCAGCAGCCTGGGTAGGAAATGCCGCTCACCAGATCCTGAGTGTATTGAGGCCCAGGTGCCCCAGGCCACATGGCACCAGCACCCAGACAAGCCCCTTCCCTGACAGCAGAACCCCACAGAATCCCAGCAGTACTCCTTTCTATCCTAAAAAACTGTCTCTCCATGAGGGGTGGGTTGAACTGAGGCCAAGAGGGGACTGAACGCTCAATCTGCTGCCTCCTGGGTAAGCCAGTTCTGAAATGATGAACCTGTCTGAGGAGCCTGGCTGGCGGTGTCTTGGATTGCTGGAGTGTTGTCTTCTTTGAAGGGAGGAGGGCAAGCCCCCTTCTGCCCTGGGGCTCACAGAGTTTCCGCATCTAGTGTCCAGTCCCTATGACTGGCTGCCAGCCCGCAACTCGCCACAGGCAGCTCAGAGCGGACTGCAGGCTACACCCCCACCTACCCACAGACCTCAGAGAACAAAGCGTCTCTAAAGTGAGCACATTGAGAAGCAAAAATCATTCTCTCGTGAAGCCAAGGGGGGAAAAGCAACCAGCGAAAACAGCATTTGAGAGGCAGTGAGATGAAAAGATTTCAGTAGAAAGGACCATCTCATCTAAGACACTCATTTTAAAATTACAATATTTTTTCCAGAAAAATAAATATTTATTGTGGAAAATTAGAACTACTGATGAGCAGAGGGCAGGAGTCTGAGCCTTCTGTCATGGCCCTCACACAGGACATGCATCTGTGTGTCCCCAGACAGGCTGAGAGGCCCAGGCACTGCTCTGTGACCTGTGGGCACAAGATGGCGGATTGCTCCTACCCCCAGACGCCAGGGCTGGGGCTGGGCTTGCTAAGTAACACAGGCTCTGTGACAAGTTGATGTTGGGGGCACAAGAGGCTGGGGGTTCTATGGCCCCATGGAGCTCACCCTGGTTAGAAGGGTCCATACAGTTAGGAACTGAGAAGAATCCAGAAGACACTCCCTGATGCCCCCAGCCTTTGTCTCTCCCCGTATGCTTTGCTGAGAACACCCCCTTTGCACTCAGCAGGAGACTGCTACACTGCCTCAGCTCTGCATCGAGGGCTAATCTGTGCCAAGTCCCCAAGCCAGGTCTCCGTGGGATGTGCCGCCGCACCAACACACTCTCTCTATGGGGGTGGGTATAACAAAAATAGGATGATACGGCATGTACTATTTTGGAAGCCGATACCTTCATTTAAGGATATAGTACAGACATTTCCTTTCCCACTGACATTAGTCACGCAGTTTGCAAGTCTGAACAGATTTCTTTTGTACAGGTGTTCAATAATTTATTCCCTTGCTCTCCTATCCAGTGCTGTGATAAACAATCTGGTTTTCATATCTTTAATTATTTCTTAGGATGAATTCCAAGGATGTATTACAGAAGCCGATGCTTCCAGTAAGCTGGCTTTCAGAAGGGCGAGCACCAGCTGACAGGCCCCACCGGAGGGGTCCCGGCCTCCCACACCTCAGTTTCTTTCTCTCTAAATGGGTGTGACCTGAGTGCCCGCCTCAGGTCCTCAGGGCAGTGAGGACCATGCAGCCCTGAGGGCAGCCTCTGCACTGAGGGTTACTGTGGGGTGTCTGCTGTGACCACGCAGCTCCCTTGCTGGGAGAGGGGGGAAGAGCTGCAGCAGGAAGCCCCAGGTCTGCCCTGCCCCGGCCACGAGTTGGCAGAAGCAGATCCAGAAGTAGGTTCTGCTCTCCTTCCCTGTTGCTCCAACATGCTTCTAGATCATTCCAGTCATGCCCCTAGTGGTTATCACCTACCAGTCACCTTTTTTTTGTTGTTGTTGTTTACAAAAGATATATATTCCAAGATTTTTACCAATAAACGTACATGAACAATTAAGTATATTTATAAAAGTTGGGTACAGCTGTGTGTACCCACACACTCCCTGACTCCAGGAACTTGGCCAGTGGAGAGGCACCAGGGGCTCCCTTGACTTCCTCCAGCCTCCGCTCACTCCTTCAAAGGAGGGAAAGCCAGCACCCACCACCTCCCGCTGTCTCTAGGCTGCCAGCATCAAGGGGCAAGCCATCACACACTGTGGTGCCCCAGTCACCCCCCAGGCCCCCAGCACACCTCGCCTAAGGCGCCTTGGCGGGGCCCCAGGCAGCTGAACCCCAAAGCGCTGCCCCCAGGAGTAGTCTCCCTTTCTAGTCCACACTGCCCCTCTCAAATGGAAATGAAGCAGCTCCTTAGCCCTCATTACACTGGTTTTAGGTCATTCCTGGGGAGATTCAATCCTGCAGCTGCTCAGATATTTTTAGATGAAACATAGCGACGTGGAAATTAAAGGCTACGACCTACCTGGGGTGTCGACCCAGCCGGGATGCATTGATGAGAAGTGGATGGCCGGATGCCGCTGGGCCCAGCGCTCGGTCAGAACCACCTGCTGCCGCTGGACAGGGCGAGGGTGACCAGAGGGGAGAGAGAAGGCACCCTCAGGTGGGAGAGGCGCCACTGGCTGAGGGCACCTGGTTCCCCCAGCCCTGGTCTGCGCACAGATCTCACTCTCTTCCCCAGCACGTCTGACAACCCAGTGCTGCGTCCTACCCTTCTCAGAAGGCGCAAAGGTGCACACAGGTGAGCAGCACACAACACGCCGCTGGACTTCCCTGGACACGGCGCATCGTGAAATGCAAGCCCAATGCAGGGATGTTCCTCCTCCACAAATTGCTGATGCCTTAAGCTCAGTGAGCGCAGAGGCCGCCCCCAGCACACGGTGACACTGAGTGTCCATTACGGTGAAATAACTCCCACCTTTGAGTGTGGGGAACACCCTGGAGGTGATTAGAGAACTCAGCAGTGGCATTATTTTTTAAATCATCAAGTACTCCCATTCAAGCCTCAAGCAACTAAGACCACTGCCCAGCCACTGGGTGGTTTGATCTTGCTTTGCAAGAATTCCCAGTCATTTATGAACAAGTGGCTTATTCCCAGGTCCCCTTGGCAACCAGTGGGAGGTCATGAGAAGTAACCCACCAGGATTTGGAGATAAGTGAGCAAAAGCAGGGTACATGGGGCAGGGTGGGGGAGGTGCAGAAGCACTGGACAGGGCGCTCTGCAGAGGCGGTCACCTCACCAAGGCGAGGCTGATGGACACAACAGCTTCACAAGCAGCAGGGAGCACGATCAGGTGCACTAACAGCAAGGACTGAACATGGGGCGCTCTACAATGGGCTTTCGAAAAGAGCTATAGCTGAGACAGGCGGCAAGACCAGCCTTTCTGTTAGGACCAAACATGGATCAGCACCTTGCCTTTGTTTTTCAGGACTAACAGTGTCTGGGGAGCCCAGCATCCCCACTGTAGCATCTGTTCATTCAGGGAGGGGGGCTGTCCAGAGGAGAGAGAAGGGCTCTTATTCTCAGAGCAGATCTGCTCAGACACTGCTGGGCTTCTGATCATGCATCTCCAGCTACTGCCGCCACCTCTGTGGGTCTGTAGACACGGAGAAGAGGAGGCGGCTTTCGTGGCTGCTTTCAGGAGGTGCACCCCAGCCTGAGCAGAGCTACGACTGCCTCCTGGCCAAGAAACATTTCTGGTGATTCTGCTGTGAATCACTAAGACCCAGGTGGATGTGTAACCAGCGTAGATCCCTTGGAGAGGAGTCTGTGTGGCAAGGATGAAATGCAGCCCAGAGAAAACCGCTCACTTTGTTGTGTGCGTAGACCATCGTCCCATTGAAGGCCGTCCTTTCTGACTGGAGATCATGGATATTCAGTTTCTGAACCAACATCCCTCCTGAGGAGACTGTTATCTGTAATGAATACAATGGAAATGTATAAACAATTTGTAATACCCACCTATTCCTCTTCTGCCAAGCACTGTATTGCTTCCGTGTTGCTGTTACAGTAAACCACCACAAACCTGGTGGCTTAGAGCACCACTGACGGGGCCCCCTGACAGTTCTGAGTCAGTGTCCAGTAGCTCGGTGGGTTAACATCCAGGGTCAGCGGAGCTAGCTGTATTCCCTCTGCAGTCCGGAACCTTTGCCTTCCGCAGCTTCCACAGATACTGTGTCCCTTGGTTTGTGGTGGCTCCATTCTCCTTGCATCCCCTTGTCACATCTCTCTCGCTCCTGTTGGGACCCCATGACTTCTTGGACCCACCTGGATAACCCAGAATCCACGCCCTAACTCAAGACTCCTAACTTAAGTCACATCTTTGAAATCCCTTTTGCCCTGTGAAGGCGGCCTAGGCACAGGTGTCAGGAATTGAGACCAGACACCTGAAGGTGGGGGCTGTTAGTCTGCAGAGAGGCGGTAACTACACAAGCCATCTTCTCCTGACTTCTCTGTCCCAGAGACCCCTTAATAGAGGCTAACTCCTCAGCCTGTCCGTGCCGGGTAGACAGAGTTAAACGCAGCCTCCTGGAAGCTCCCTTCCCCCAGTGCTCTGCCAGCTCTCAGAAGCAAACTGCCGGGGCTGGCTCTCTGCACGGCTGTGCCTCTCTCTGCACAGGGAATCTGTGGGGAACAAGTGGGTAGCAGCCACCCAGCCATGGCCAGAGGCACAGGGAGGGCCCCTGAGATCAGGGGCATGGGGTTCCCAGGCAGTCTCCCCTACATCAAGGAGAGCATTCAGGGGTGGGGCTCCTCCCAGCATGGGGGTCCCCCGGAAGCAGCCAGTGTTGAGCCTCACCTGAGCTGGGCCCTCCAGCCTCTGTCAGCTCCACTCCAGACCCACCCAACACTGTCCTGGCCAGTGCATGGAGGCTGGGCTTTAGATTATTAAACAGAAACCCCGGGGGGCCTGCAGACTGAATTTGAATGTGGGCAGAATGGCGCTTTCAAATAGCTGTAACAAACATGTTGGAATTCACACCAGGAACAAAATTGTTTATTTACAGAATGTTTTGTCAATATTTACAAGATATCCCAAAAGTCACTCACCACTCTGGGGTCATGTTCTTTCTCCAGCACAGGGATCAGCGCCGTGGTGAGAATGTAGACACCTGCGAGGCACAGGACGGTGTGTGAGAGTCTGGAGCGCTGCCCTGGTCCTGAGGGACAGCCAGGCTCGGGCCTCCCGCATCCCCAGGCAACTGGGGAGGGCTACCTGGGCTGCGGGTCCCCCCCTAATCAGAGTGCTGCAAGTCGCATCTGTGGCCTGCAAGTCGCACCTCCAGAACTGGAACAAAGACAGCCACAGAACACTTCAGGAAGCGTAAAGCAGGCCGTAGAGCCCTCGATGCACCTACTTAATGGGGAAAAAATTCTACAGACACATGTTTTTTTGGTGTGTCTCGACTGTGCAGAGAAAAATAAGAATAGGAAATTTAGCAATATCAAGGGTGGAGTTAAATACAATGTTTACTTCCTTTGCTATACATTTCAATGAGCAAGGAATAGTATGATTATTTCTGTAATCACGAAACAGAATATTTTAATTGAAAAATATCCCTGACATGCATTTGACAAATATATATATA